AAAGGTGAAAGTTTGGAAAGCTCTGACATAGATTGTTTTGCTTTAAGTGTTTGGAATATTGTATTTACTCATTCAACAAATAAGTATTAAATACCTACTATGTTTCAGGTACTATTTTATATTCTGGGAATTCAGTAGTGAATGAGATAGAAAAAGTATCTGCTCTCATAATAGACAATTTTAAAAACAGATAAATGCTATAAAAAATTACACAGGATAAACTTACAATGACAGTGATAGAGGAAGGAGCAAGTTTAGACAGGATGGTCAGGAAATGTCTTTCTCAAGAAGTAATTTTTGCATTGAGATATATCATTGATGAGAGGGAGTCATTCAAAGCATTTTTTAAAACAACGCGTTTTGGCTGTCAACAACCAAATAAGTTCTACATCTTCACATTTCTTCTTTTTTCTTAGCACACTTCACAATCTATGTTAGAGGGATGGCTGTCTTCTATTTTTGTCATGGACTGTTTTTTCAAACCATAAGAAAAAATCTCAAGTACTTGTGAGAGACATAACAAATCATTGTTTGCTAGGGGTATATTAGCTAGCCATGCTTTATTACAGTGATAAAACAATAAGGATGACTGGAAGTTGATTCTCGTCACTTCCTCTTGAACTAACAACTGCTCTAAGAACATAAAATTAAGAAGTAGCAACAGTGATAATTTGTGTTGCTTATGTCTTTATGCATCTATTTTACAAATCAAAGACTGGATGTGTCCTCTTTTGTACTCCAACCCCCACCATGCTACATGGTTTATTCCCTAGCATCTGATGGTAATAGCACCAGTGGATTCCAGCACAAGTATTACTCATGCCTTTCCTATTTTTAAATCATATTAACACCCCTACTTGGTTATATCATATTTTATTAGTACTGTAATTTGATTTATGTAAGGACTTGTGGAGCATACTAATGTTCCCATCTATTTTTTTTCTCTTAAAATGTGGACTTGTTATAGAAGTGCCCAACTGAGAAATCTGGGTCTAGTTGCATATTTGAAGGCTTAGTTGGGAGATCTGTAAGTTCTCCCTTACAACCTTGTTTCTATACTTGGCATGACTTCCACTGAGTAGGAAAGCCAAATCAGTAATATTATGCCACATCTTTCCCCTACTGCAGGATTTTTGTGGATGCCTTTTAATAGGCTAAGGGAGTTCTCTTCTTATCCAAGTTTACTGAGTGTTCTTTATCATGAAAGTGTGTTGGATTTTGTCAAATGTCTTTTTTTTTTTTGTATGTGTATTGGGACAATTTGAGTGTCAAAATAAATAATGACAATAATGGAGTATAATCCATTGAATATAATAAGAATACAGAATAAATACTGATATGAATAAATGTGGTTGTTGTCCTGCATTCTCTTGATATACTATATTACATCCATTGACTTCGGATATTAAACCAACCTTGCCTTTTGGAGGTGGGGTGGTGATGGTGGTACTGATAAATCCATCTGCTTATGGCATATAATTCTTTTTAAAATCTGTTGCTGCATTTGGTTAGCTAGTATTTTGAGAATTTTCACATCTATATTCTTAAGAGATATTGGTCTGTTTTTTATTTTTTTGTGATGACTTTATAGTAGGTTTGTTTTAAATGTGTTATGAGATAGCAATTTTGAAATGACTTTCTCTGTATTCTAAGATTGAGCAAATAACTAAAAATATTAAGAAAATAGCATTCTCAGATTTCTTACTGTTGGAGAAAGGAAATACATAGAGAAGATATATAACCATGAGAGAACCAGAATGAATTCCCTGCTGCTAGATTAGAACTGGAAGTGCATCTGTTTGATGTGATTATGCAAATACACACACAAACTGACACACAGATACCCTCACTGTGTCCACTGAGAAGGCCTAGAAGCAGTGGCATCCCAGTTTTAATTATTATACTTAGCATCCAGATCTCAGAATAAAGGCTACTTCCCAGGATTGTATCAGGGAAATGACAAGATGATCCTGGAACATTTTATTGTGCCAGAAATTAATGAAGTGCTTAAAGAATGATGGGAACATGTCAAAAGATAAAGGAATCAGTTTGAAGGGGCTCCTAGTAGCCAAATCTGGGACAATTTGAGTACCAAAATCAATAATAATAATAATGGGGTGTAACTCATTAGAAAAATAGGAATCCAGAAATCCATACTGATAAAGAGAATAATAAATAAATAAATGAAGGGAGAGAAGGGAAAGCTTCTCCTTAGTTTGCCAATTAAGAAATATGAAAGAAATGATGAAGTCAAGAAAAATCACTATTTTTGTAAACATTATAGTAATTAATAGTAATTAATTCAGGCAAAAATCATTAAAGGATGATAAATGAAATGTGATGAGGAGTAAGACAAATAGCCTCATAGAACTTCCCTACAAATTATTTGTTAATTACAAAGGGAAGAACAATAACTTTACAGTAGAGAAACCTGCGTGTGTCAACTTAATCCAGGTTAACTAACATCACTGTTACCAATAATGGGATAAACTGACATATGTGCCTTTTCTGTGCACATGACTTCAGTGGTATTTCTGCCCCAAATCTATAACCTGAATATAATTATGAAGAAATGTCAAAAAACAACAACAACAAACAAATACCCTGCATCAATAGAAATATTCTTCAAAATAACTTGTCTGTATTCTTCAAATATGTCTTGTCAAAAAATATCAAGTTCATAAACAACAAAGAAAAGCCTAGTAATCATTCTAGCTTAACGGAAACTAAAGAAACATGAAGACTAAATACAGTATGAGCCTGGGTTGCATTCTGAACCAGGAAAAAAAATAAATATAAAAGACATTATTGGGACAATTGATGTAATCTGAATACAGGCTACAAAGACAATAGTATTGTATCAACATAAAAATTCCTGATTTTGATCATTGTACTATGGTTATATAAAAATGGGCAAAACATCTACAACTTACTTTTAACTAGTTCAAGAAAAAATATATATGCATACCCACAGACATTTATATGTATATATATATATACAGAGAGAGAGAGAGATAGAAAGAGAGTGAGCATGAATGATAAAGCAAATGGGGCAAAATGTAAACAACTGGTGAATCTGGATGTTTCTTGCACTATTTTTGCAATTTTCTGTAAGCTTGAATTATATTAAATTTTTCAAAAGTTTTAAAGCACACATATTAGCAACAACTACCAAAAAACACTGAATTTTATCAAGGACATACCAGGAAATTGAGTTTCAGAAACTGTATTTATCACTTTGCTAAAGCAAAAGGAAACTACTTTTGTGTAAAACCAAAAGATTCCAAGTAGCAGAGTGAAGTTAAAAAAATAAAAAAACAAAACTAGCTAACACTGTCCCCAATATATTCATTTCAGAAAGCTGTTGGCTCTAGAGGGTAAAAAGAAAAAGTTCAATTTCCTGAAGATGTAATCTAGTATTATCCACACCAGGTGCAATATCCAATCTTATCCAAATAAATCAGTCCAAACTTATGCCTCTAAGAGCAAGAAAGGTCAAAATTCGAACAAATCGACCGTTTCAAACAAAAGGAAGAATGCAAGAAGCACTCTGTACAAATAAGGTGAACCTACGTGCTGGCACAGTTGCTATTAGCAACGCAATGCCTTTGACATTAAAGAGAAAAATTACTTGAGTTTGGGCCAGATTGGTAGTTATTTTTTTTATACACAGTATACACACAAAAACACAGCAATTCTTTTTATATAACTCAAAATGAAAAACCTGAAATAAATTATGTGTACATTTATTAACACAAGAGATCAGAGGTGATTATTAAAAATCCTGAAGCAGTCAGAATTCCTATGTATTATGAAGCCAGGAAAGATGTGTCTGTCTCTTTTTTATTTCTCTTTCTCTTCCCCTGTTCCTCATATTCTCTCCCTTTTTTATTCTCTCAACTACCCTGTCTGTGCAGGCCAACGATAACCAGGGCTCAGCATTGCCAGGGGCAATCAGAGCTTCAGAGGTTGCTGACCTTGTACAAGGCGTGCACAGGAAGGGGCACATTTATTCTGACAGGGCATTTAAATGAAGCAAAACATCTTTCAAAGCATCTCACTGAAAAACAGCTCCTGCTGGGAAGAGTCTCTGGGCTTCAGAATGTGAATGGCCCCACACTGAGATACTACACAACTTCCAGAACAACACTAGGTCAGTCTCTGACAGCTGTGGGAAAGGTGCATTTTGATGTACAGCTGCTTTCCCCAAACCTGTGATTTCCTTGTCAAAGAAAAATTTAAATAAAGAAACTAAGCAACAGGGTCATAAATGACCAAAAACCAAAACAAAACAAAACAAAAACTTGAAAATTTAGATTTCATCTTTAACAATCTTACCAAAAACATATTTGTGTTTTAGTTCTTCATTCTCTAAGTAAACAGAAATATTTCCACCTTTCCCTGTTTGCTCTACTTCTATCCTGTTGCAGAATACTCCCTAAGGATGATAATGATCCACAAAACTATTTTTGTCTCAAAAGAAAGGAAAATTAAACTTAAGCTCAAAGAAAAATGAAATCTTATCATAAAATAAAATACCAGGTAATATTAACATTCTCTTCCATTTTCTGTGTCAGAACAAAAATATCTAAGTATTGG